AAAGAACCCGGATTCTATAGGTAAAATCTGACCAGGCACTTTTTTGAGAGTGTAGCAGAAAATGATAAGTGCTTAGCACTTATCATTTTCTGCACTTATCATTTGTGACTGGGAACCAGTCACAAACGAAACACATTGCAATGAGACAAATTGGCTGGTGACCTGTTTTTTCTCAGCATATATTCTGTGCACTTAGTACACTTTGGAGCTTAGCAGCTCTGATTAACGTGCTCCCCGAATAACTTATGGAGCCTGCCGCGAGTTGCAGGCGTCACAAAGAACCTATAAACTTAACATGTCAGAAACCTTGCATACTTACATTAATGTGCAAGTAGGTACAAGTCGGCAAGTTAAAGGCATATTATAGGATCATTTGCATTGATTCCAAAAATGACCTAGCGAATCATTATCAAAGATCGCACAGAAATTATTCCGTCTGGCTTGCTGTAATTTAGAGGAAATCAAGAAGGGTGTGTGATTTCCAACGATCAATCAATTTGGCCGAGTTTTGGCAAAAAAGAGTGCTACTGACGAAATCGTGTTTCGTGATCACAAGGTTGTGCGTGGTTTTCCCCTGTTTTCAGTGTAATGGCCACTGAACTAGAATTTCAACAGGTCAGGTTTTGAACATTCTACTTTAGATTTCGAGCGTTGTTATTTTTGGATATGAACAAAATGCATGAAAAAAACCCCAAATCCGGTATGTCGTTAAGCGTTAGAATAATGAAAATATACATTTAAACTTGGATATTTTTTTCGATACGTTAGGCAACTCTGTTCTAGCTCCTTTTCTGTAGATGAAGCAATGCAGGTACAGCGTACACTGTGCAGACTCCAAGTGTAGCATTCCTCGTTTTTATGCTTTGCTATCTGAAGTAAAACAAAATTCCATCAAAATATCACTTGTTCAAATACCCAGAAAGACTCATATACTCTCAATTGCCCCCTTGCTAGTCTTAAAGACAAATCGATTTTGAGTTTCTTTTTGAGTTACATTTTTTTTCCCCAACTGACAGCTGAATTCATTCAAATTAACTTTCGACATCGGATATATAAAGGCATAAAGGAATATCGATGTTCTAATTAAGCCTACTTGGCTATACATGTAAAGAAAAAAATCTGTCTTGACAGCGAGTTAAAAAAAAAAATTGTCTGCGAACAAGAAGGCGAGAAAACATCTCATCTAGATCGAGGGGAAATATTTTCTCAAAATTGAGTGGCGCGAAAACAAGTTCAAGATATACCCCTGCGGGCCTCCACGTAATATAACACACTCCAAACACAATATGCTGCGCGCCGAGTTTGGAGTACAAATCATTTCCCGCCAAATTTTGACATGTGATATTCGGCAAACCTGATATATTATTTCTTCTATACCACGCCTCGGGCGACACTAGTTGGCGGCATGGGGCTGATAACAAGTGGTCATGTCTAGTACCCGACTCGTTACGTGCGCACTACTTGATGTATTAACCAAGACAACATGCTCCAGTTTTTGATCAAGTGATGCTGCTATTAAACTGCAAATTTCCCGAAGGCTTTCAGTTTTATACATTTATCCCCTTCGTTAGCAGGACAGATACAGGATTGTGTTGCTGCAATTTCTCCATCTGGGTTAACTAGCCTCCCTTCGGGATTTCATTTTGTTCCACGTTCCACTTTCGCCGAAATGATATATGAAATCTTATACTGGTTTGTCTTACTCGCTGCGATGCGTTGACAGGAGAGCGGCTCGTATCGCGTCTAATTTGTGCGTAATGTCATAATCAAGAATTCGTATCGTGGTTGGTAATTCAATTAAAGATGAAGGGGACGACGAAGCAATTGGACATGTTTGAGGTCAATTTTTCATCAACACTGTCGGCTGATATTGCGCCGTTATCTATCTGTGCATCTGTACTTCTGGTCTTCGGTTCACTGTCTCGATATTAGCATCGATAATTTAAAAGTTAAATAAAGAAATTGACTTGAGGGGGTTTGAACCCGCGACCTCCGGGTTACCATTCCGGTGCTCTACCATCTGAGCTATCCAGCCCTATGTTGGTGGTTCCCCAATTTGTCAATGTCTTTATTCAAGGGGCACTAGTCAGAAGTCAAAAACCCGTTTATATCATGCAGCCAGGGATTACGCATCGGTAGTTGGTTTTAAAAAGAACATCGTTCCCATAAATTATGCGTCCATAGTTAGGACCGCATGAGGGCGCCGTTATGACGTCATTTTAGGGGTACAAACACTTGACATAAATCCCGTTTCTTGAAATAGTTATTTAATTTTACATGAGGTATATGAGCATTTTTGGGAAGTGCGCGTAATTACCAATGAGGTCTATGTCCGTCTATTTTGGTGTGGAACCATAACGACGTCAAAACAGAGCCCTCTTACGCTCAAGTAAATGGTCGATAGCTATTCTGTTGTAACAAATACTATATTCCTTTTACAATCTGGATTTTCCTTGATAACATTGAATATGAATGTTAACAATAATTACTAATGTGAAATAAGTATTGCGTGGTCTTCATACAAATGATCAATTGCGCACTGCATAGTGTACCACAGAAATTAGCATTAAAAAAACAAGAATTAAAAGAAAAATAATAAATCCAATTTCTTGAAATGTCTATCAGGACAAACATGTCTATCAGGACATTGCAAATAAAAATACACACAAGATATAAGTGTGAGATCAACCAAAAATATAGCCCAGTCCGGGCACGCTAGCATTTCCATCACAGAGGCCCCCTATAATGGCGAAAGCATTGGGCTTGCTGTTGTTCAGATAATCTGTACAATAGCTTTCTACAATATCGTGCACAATGGTTTCTCCATTGAAAGGGGCCTCGTGAGTGCAGAGTGATCACGTGCCCAGATTCATTTATATAATACAGGTAATTGTAAAATATTGAACTAAAAAAACCCAAATATGACGAGGTTGTAAGGGTCACCTTGATGTACAGAGTGAGTACAAAAAATACGCATACCATACCAAATGGCAGGACCAAGTTTTGAATGAAGTTTTGCCTGTAGCACTTTAAAAAATCTGGGATATGAAAGCCCAATTGATAAGCTTTCTTTTAGTACAAGAATCATTCACATCACTCATGTACTTTTCAAGTTACGGAATTTTAAACACAATCACCGTTTTACAGTTCTGTCCACGAATCACAAAAAAGTAAGTGTTCTTTCAGCAAAACGAAAACATTTTTTTTTCATAGGGATGCATGTGAATTGTTTTCGTTTTGCTGAAAGAACACTTACCTTTCTTGTGATCCGTGGACAGAACTAAGAAACGGTGTTTGTGTTCAAAATTCCGTTACTTGAAAAATACATGAGTGATTTGAATGATTCTTGTACTATTAAGAAAGCTTAATGACTTGGCTTTCATATCCTAGATTTTGAAAGTGCTACAGGCAAAACTTCATTGAAATATTGGTCCTGCCATTTGGGTTGCATTTTGTTTGACTCACCGTGTACTGTGGATGATATATAAATAGACGTTGTACTTAGTTCCTCATTTGCTCCTAATTTAATTCCTCCACTTAACAAAACATATCCGTTGCACAAATGCACGTTGTTTTTCTTTTTTAAATATTAATGTTTCCCCCTGTCCGTCGGAGCAGTTCCGGCAAGTGAGCAGCTGGTTCTATTTTTTGTCCTCTAACTTCCGTGACCATACGTGATAAAAACGATTACGAGACAAAGACACTAGGGGAACTTGGTTCTTAAAATATACCGGAATGTCGCTTAAAGTGTTGGCTAGAACCTGTGCGGCCGCTGAAAACTACGGAAACGGTCACAGGAAGTCGGAAATGAGTGTCCTTTTCTTGTTCGTGACAGCCTAAGCGGCCACATCAAAAGAGATTGAGTATTAGGTGTGAGTCTGTTTCTGCATTCAATAGGGGACGTTGAACAATAGAGGACAATAGGGTCCCCAATTCACAAAGGTCCCAAATTTGGCAATCGTGTAAACAAAACATTTGGGAGATCTTCTTAAGTACAAACACAAGAGGGACAATCCCCGATTGCAGGCAAATACACACTTGTGTGTGTCGGTGTTTTACGATGGAATTTCTTAAAATGGTGCATGATGGATACGATCTATTGCGTTGTACATTTCCGAATGTTTTGAGAGTGGTTTTGTTTTGCTTTTGTCGTCAATTCCCTCTCCTGTTGTTTCCGTGACCAAGGTTCGAACCCTGGTAAATTTGGCCTTAGGCGATCAACAGATTCAGTGTCTGTTCGTTTTGGGTTGTCTGTTTGTTGTGTGGCTCGTTTGAAGGGAAAAAAAAACATACCAGCCTAGCAAGCCTTTTCCTCCTGCTTCTGGGAGAAAATCGATCGTTTGTTTTTTGCCTCTCTCACTGTTCCTTGAGGTTAAAAACTTGCCATGGTTTTGGTATTTTGGGGGGTGAAAATCGTTTGCCTCACTAACAAAAATATTTAAGATTGGTCAACCGCAAGGTAATTCTGCAGGTTATGGGTTTGATTCCCGCCTGGGGTCTCGGTGCATGCCCTTGGGCAAGGCACTTTGTCACTCATTGCTTTTTTTTCCACCCAGAAGTAAGTGACGGATACCTGTAAAGGCAGAGATGGTTATTGTGATTGACTTTAGCTGCCTTGCGCCTAACAGGCTGCATCGAGCTGTGTATCTCCACATGGAGCTGAAATTGTATTTGGAATGTTTAATTTTATTAGGCCTATGATCGGGGGTAATAAATAAAGTAAAGCGCTTTGATCTTATAGTTAAAAGCGTTATATAAGAATCTGTTTTGTCCCTAGTTTAGTCACTCCGAGAGCCCTCTCGTGAAGCTCCCCACCTTTTGCTCTTCGTCGATACATTTCGCAGCTTAAAGTATTTTTTTTGATGCTACACTGTGCGTGAAACAAAGGACCCCGAAACGACACTGCTAACCAATAACGTAGTATCAAAGTTAGAGGCTGGTCGAAACAGGTGCATATCGTTTGATGGAAATAATGTTCCCTCGGTTTTTTCTTCTTGCAGACGGATTGTACACAGGAGATTTCACCGACGAAGAGGAAGGAGCCGAAGCCTTCCAGAATCTGATTGGCGACCTCATGAATGACGTCGGCGCCGAAAATAGCCTCCGGGACGCCATGTTGGAAGACACGCTGGCGCATGCGCAGTTCGGGGCCGAGACGAAGCGGACCAATCGGTGCCGTCCCGGGAGGTGCGTCTTCAGAGGTCCCAATCCCAACGCCGGCAGCCGGGTTCTACCATTCGGGAAGAGGGAGGAGACACCAGCCAACACATTATCGCGGAGAGGACGCGGCCCATCCAAGAACCGACCCAGAGGCAACCGGACCCTATTGCCCTTCGGAAAGAGACGCTAACTTTCGTAAAAGGTTTAACTTGAAATCGGGCATTCCTCAGTGAAGCACATTTCAGGTGATTTTTGCATTGATTTTGAAGTTGTTAGCCCCTACTTTACAGTGGTCCAACTATGAGTCCAAGATGGCGGTCATTTTCAGGTCCGAGTGATACAAATCCTTACGTTTGGCAGATTTTTCAATATAATTATTGATCAATGACTCAAACAGCTAGTGAAATGTGGTTCACTTCTAATTCCTCCTAATCGCAAAAAGCGTTTATTTCTTCATGTAAATAAAATAAAAAATGAATTCAAATGATTAATTTTAATACTGACATATACACTTAGGTTATTTTCTTGCACTCTACGTAGAGAGGAAACAATAGACTTTCCGTAAAAGAAAAACACTAGATAAATCATTAGTATCAGTTGTAACGTAGATCAAAAACCACAAAGCTAGTTAGTTCAGAATTTGCTTTTGTTTCAACCATTCGCCAGGAAAAACAACTTACCTTGTGTTAAATTAAGAACATAATACTGGAAATATCTTTGGACGATTTCACAATTCAATCCAACCAATGGATATATTTTGTTCGTCAGCTTTTACTTTTTATTGTAACTTGTTATAATCTTACTAATATTCGATGGGCTCGTCTCTGCTTCTGTTTGTCTTTTCACCTCTTTTTCCAAATTGTGATTTCTTCTTTCTATATAGTTTGTGTTTTTGTAGTGAATAGTAAGTTCACCAAAATTGCACTAATTTCTCGTATTTATAAAGACACTTATATGGAAAGGAAATAACATACTAATCCATGGCAGATATTAGGAAAAGCAGGTGCAATTAAACAAATTAAAACAGTCAGCAGGTTTACGTTCATGTATTTTATCGTTTTTAAACAAAATAGTCAGTTTTAGTTCTAGGCATCAACTTAGTGAATCCCTCTGTCTATTGCAATGTGTTCAAATATCGCCACAGTTATCCATAATCCACTTTTAAAAACTATTTATTACACCTTTATTAATAACGTGCAGAATGCGAACGCGGTGACTATGTTTTGAGTAAATTAAATTGCCCTAGTCTAGAGCTCAGTTGAAGAAAATTTGCCGAAAACGTGTTATACTTTTAATGGATGACAAATCGCCGGCTTTGTCCGAATTCCGATATTAATGCTTAAAGTAGTTGCAAATTAGTTTAAAAAAAAACCAAAAACAGCAATTGCCGGCCTCACATCTCAGCAGATTTTGTTGACCGTAATTTAGTGATATCGATCGTGCATCAATCATTTTGCTCAGACAGATGTGTAATCTCTATTGTAGCCTTAGGGCAATGCAAGCAAGTGAGTAGAAAATTATCTGGTTCATGAAGTTTGCTGTGAACATGGGGAAAACAGAAACCCAACTTTGCAAATTTACAAAACATGCTTAATTCATATCACGATTACCCGGTTGGGCCTATTGTAAGCTGTGTAATGATTCTCATCGTGAATTGGTTGCTGACTTTCAATTCCTACAATAACTCGCATTGAAAAAGAAGGGGCGAATGAACTGATGCGATCTAGCTAAATGAGTCATTTGTCGACCCCGGTGAAATTTGTTTTATTACAGATTTGAAAGGAGCACAATCTCAGCATTACTGCTGTGAAAACCGCATGATGACACTTTCTTTAGTTCAAAAATTATGCAAATCGGAACAGCAAGAGATGTGATGAAGTGATGCGATGAAGTGGCCATATTTTGGCTTGTATCTCCAAATGAAATTCCCGACAAACGACTCATGTAGCTTGCTTGCATCTCAATATTATTGTGTATTCTTTCAAAGGTGACAAAATCAGAGCGTATAAGCTAGGAGTTAAGTTTAGAGTTCACCTAGCTGCCTTCAGATCATATTGATGGAATTTAAGTAACCTTGGTTGTTCTGCTGAAGTCACGAGAAAATAAAACAAAATCATTGAATGGGAAACAAATGCTGTTGATCTTTTTTTGTGGTTTGATATTAGCCCCCCCCCCCCCAAAAAAAAGGTTGAGTTGCCCTCATATGAAAAATATCAGGAGGATAGTTGGCAGGGTTGTTGGGGTGAGGGAGGGGCTGGGGTGGGGGAGGGGTGTCACGAAGGGGAAGGGTGGTTTCACGAGGATTGTTGGGGGCAAGAAGGGAAGGAGCTAATGAACCTGGACCTTGCTGTAAGACGGTGACGTCATAGACAACAAATTGCCATTGTTAATGCAGTCACTTGTGACGTCATGCTGACGCATTTTACTAAATGCCGAGGTTAGAAAGGGGTTATTACAATGATGGTAGATACCCCATTGCTTAATAGCAAAGCTTCTTTCCACAAAATAATAATTATTTGAAAGAGAAATTCTCTACCTCATGGTTAATTGACGACTGCAGTAAGTGACCTGTATTAAATGCTTTCTTCTGCGTATGGCCGTACACTCACCATCGATCGACCATTAGTGGAATTAAAAGCAGACCTTGGTGAAACTGAGTTCTTTTTATTGCGACACCTTTATAAGCATTCCGTATAGATGTGTGTGTTGCCCTTCACCGGTGTACTTCATACACGTTGTATGTACAGTGCTGTTCCGAGTGATTGTGAGAAAAAAAATAAGCTATTTGGGTTGGACACGAACCCAGGACCTCCTGCTTTCTAATGCAGTCGTCTTACCACTCGACCACCGAAATTGCCTGGGTAAGCTGGCTGGTTTGAACCTGATTTAGGAGCGGGTACCTCATGGGTGAAGGAAATTCAATATTGTTTTGTTTTTCCCTTCAATGGCTGTACCCGCTGTGATAACAGATTAAATCAGCCCTCTAGCAAGCAGGAGAGCGTGGGTTCGAGTCCCACCCGAGAAGTTTCTTTTCTTAAACTTACCCTGAACAACACTAAACAGTGCTTTACGAAGTACGGTGGCGATAACTAGTCTATGTAAAATAGACAATGTTCCATTACATTTGAGCAGATTGGCTAATTAATTATACAAGACAACCGCATCTTGACCTCCAGATTTTTACCAATCGGCGGCCGCTTTCTGTATCGGGTCTTCGGTCATTTACTGTTATCGCGTCATAGACATGGATAAAAAAACACTCTAGACACAGCAACAAAGGCTGTGTCACGCGCTCTGTATCATGTTACGCCACAAGCGCCCGGCTGTTGTATTACAAAACACTGCATTCGAATTGACCAATCACAGTTTTAGTCCTGATTTGAGGAAAAAATGATGTCACGATTTAGTAAAGTCGACTCCGATTAGCTGAGGCGCAAGATAACATAAATGTGCATGCTTTGACTTATCAGACGTTATACAGGAGACTTGGCTACGTGCATAACGGCTGATACTCAGACTAGGTGATGAGGTGAAGGGCATAAAAGCCACCAATGCCAAATTTACATGACCCCGACGCAAATTCCATCTATTAAATGCTTATTAGCATTATCACTTCTCCCGAAGACCAACATTAATTTTATCTGCACACTCGTGGACTGTTCGCAATAGTTCTAAGCGTCCCCTTCCCTATTGAATTAGTAAGTTATGTAAACAGTCGTCGTTATTTTTAGGACCCCGTCTGTGCTCCTTGATTTGTTATGTGATTATATTCACTGCTGTTCGCCGTTGCTGTTTTGTCTTCAAAATTATGTTGATGCAAATTGACAGATTTGTTTTTTTTTAATGAATTTGATAGCTATAAGCTATAGTTATAGAGAATTGCGCCACTTTTCATAGTGAGATCTCTCTTTTTTCCCCCACCTGCCTTGATTGGCAACAATAGCCTTTCACTCTGTGACAAATGAAACCACAAAAACCGCAATTGCAAAGTTCAATTCAATTCAATTCAAAGTATAAACATTTATTTCCAGATGATCATGAAGAAAAGTACAATAAATATAGACAGATGTGGAGGCACGTTCCAAAAAAGCGGGGCTTGTCAAGGAACAGCCTGTTTACAAAAAACAAAACAAAGTAACAGCTTCACAATAAACGAATAAACATAACAACACCTATAACAAGAACACAAACAGTGTGTATACGTGTACGACGACTAAGATAAGAAAAGATATGATTCAATAAGAAAAAAATAATAAACCAAGATCAGAAAAGTAAAGTAAGTGGGGCTTACTGAGGTGACTGGTGGATTAACAAAGACTTCAGTTTGTGTTTGAAAAGTGGCGCAATTCTCTATATAGACCCTTTCATAAAATTGGTCACTGCTCAGTCAACCGTGAATGTAATGACATGATCAGGATGTCATTTTAAAGAGGAGATTCAACCCTAACAGAAAATATCTCCCTTTGATTCACATGAGCCCTACTTCTGTTCCAATTAGCAATAATATCTCGGTTTCGTTATTTGTATCCACCCTGCATACTAACTTGTTTGCAACAGCTTTCATTGGTTTTGTACACGTTTTCTAACCGAGGAGTCCTCGATTTGGTTCCTGTCCTCAATTCATCGATGACGTTGCACGTGTGTGTCCTCCATTAAACAAACGCCGCAACGCACATGTAGGGTTTACACGTAGGGAAATATATTCCAAATCAAGGTGATGCTTACAGTACATGTAGTACTACATATAATCCTCAAATCCAACAAAACTGATTCATGAAAATTTTAAAGGTCCACCGTGTAATGCAGACGTCAATATTGCATAAAAAACACAGACACGCGTTTAAGCGGGTAAAATCATACCAACACTCAATAAACAACGATTGTTTTCTTGAAAATAACATATAATAATAATAAATAATAATGATGAACTAAATAATACTTTTATTTTATTCAGGCCCCAGGGTGCCGTTGGATAAAAATTTCTCCTTAATTAATCTATGGCGAACTGATTACCTAACACTTGATAGCATATCTTGAACAAAATTCGAAATTATCGTTTCTTCTAGAAAAAGAATTATAATTAAAAAAAAAAATTAAATTTCGCAAAAATGTTATTAGAAATAAAGTGTATGGTATTATATGTAGTTTATCAACGTTTTGTGTTAGCTTTGGCGAGATTAATATTAATAAATGCAGCAATTTTGGTGCAGAAGCATTTGATATATATTTTCAAAGTAGCTTCAACCCAGCCTTGAAAAATGACCAGTAAACACTTGAAATCTGAAGCGTTTACTCCGTTTTATTCATACAAATGAAGTAAACACTTATATTATAGCAAACGAAAATACTTTTAGCTTTCAGCGAATGCTTTCCAGTAAAAGCATTTGCTTCAATTGTATTCAGACAAACACAAGTAAATTCTTAGAAACAGGTAGTAAAAGCAAAAGCTACTATTTATACGGCCTTTTGTTTACTTTTGGAAAGTCGAGTGGAAAGCTTATATTTTAGGTAATGCAAGAAATTCTTGCCATTCAAATTGACAACAAAAACATATGTACGTATAATTTGGGTTTGCCACAACCTTCAAAACGTGCGGACACGCCATCTTTAAAAATCCACCCGATAACACATTTTACTGCATGTGATGTAGAGCATCAAGGCTGCATATACACGCCGCAAGTACACAGCCGAGCGACTGAGCGAAATGCAATTTACCATCACTAGGTGACAATCACGGATACCTAATGTTTGTAAAATGGATGGGCTTATTTGATTACAAGGCCTTTCTTTGCAATTCCCTCTTATTGAGAGAGAAAAAAAAGAGTTGTGATTTTCCCAACAAAGAAAACGGTTAGATGCGAAAGGCCATTGTGCAAATGACCTGCAGTTAGACTGTTAAACGCCGCGCACATCCTGAGGGTATTGTCCCGTTACCAAATAATGTATTTTTTTCCATTGCGTGATTTGATTTTAACCCCAGTCGTTCTTGTTAGTCAGTGTAGTAAACGGTCGCTAGTTTCTAGCCCATTGCCACGTTCATTATCTTTAGCAACCACACACAAGGGACATAAAAGAAGTAAATATTACCTGAACTCAACTCGATCAAAGGACATGTGATGTGGCCTTGTCTGATACAAAATATGCAGTCTAAGGAGGTCCCCCGATGTGCCGAAGTGCCCAACTAACAGGAACATTACAGTTATTTCCCCGGCCGTCTTGCAGAATAAGAAAACCACATCTAATGTTACTTTAAACGTTTATTTGACAACTAATAAAACTTTCCCACCTGGTTACACGGAGTCTGGTTCCAAGACCAAAATATTCTGACTAGCAAATTTTAGTTCAGGCTAAGGCTGGCCGTTACATTCAAAAACTAGAAAGCACTCAGAGAGCTCACACCTCCTAAAAAAACCCAAATATATAATCGATTTGTACTTGTACCAAGGACCACCCTTCGGTATGTACATGCCTGTGTTGGCCTACCTTTCTACTTCCCCATTGTATAAAATGGTCTAGTCCATTGACCTGTGTGGTTAGATTAGATGTGCGATAATGCATACAGGGTCACTGGGTCAGTGCTACGCACACGAAGCTGGTCATACCGAGCGATCTGGTGAAGATTTCTGAAATCAAAAAATTCTGCATCTACTTAACTAGCAGATCCCGATCACTTCCTAAATGTATTCGATTTGTACTGGTACCAATGACCACCCTTAACAAGTTTTAATGAAAATACGTGCAGAATGTTTGAGTTATCCTGTTCACAGACAACCACACCAACCAAAGCACAAACAAACGCCGATGAACACAAAACCTCTTGGTTGGACGTAATAAAACATGACGCAGCAAAGACCGCCCTCATACGAGTGCATACCTGACGCACAACGTGTACATTTGGCATTTACTACAGATACTGGCTAATACCCCTGGCATTGCATGTTTAAATGCCAGCAACAAATGTACGAACTCACAATTTTCAAAACTGATAACAAGCATGAAAGGCTTTGCGAACATATCCGAGTGTCAACGAAAGGTTTTGGTAAACTTCGGACATTTTCGGAAACGAGCAGGCCGATCCTGGCCGTTTTGGGGTCATGTATATTTTTAGCCGTGGCAAATACGTAACCTAAGATTTGTCAAAGAAGTCAGCATAGTTTGGGTCTGGGACCCAGACTAGGTGAGACGCTGCAAAACGAGGCAGATGACTAAAGTAATTTCGTACACTCCAAATTGAGAGGCATTTTGTCCACACTTCATAATCGGAGTTGCAGTTAGAAGCGTTCTATATCAGTATAGTTTTACAATAAAGAACAGCTGGGGGGGGGCGAATTCTGCTCTAACGGCGACGCATCTAGGGGGAAAAAAATGAGCCTCACCCGTGTAATATTTAAAGCAAGACTATCTTTATGTACAAAGCAACAATAATATTTTTAGCAAGACTATCTTTATGTACAAAGCAACAAATAAAACACGTTTTTTTTTGTTAATTTATTTGTGGTGCATCTAAAGTTTATATCGACCAACGTTTTATTTTTCTTGTACGAGGTAATGTAGCTCTGACTTTTTTTACAGCTTAATAACTTTGGAACTTTTTCAAGAATTAAATTCTAATCATCCTTGCAATATTTGCTCAGGTTATCATTCACGGAAAGAGTGATAAGCAAAAAACAGATTCATGTAAATTCACAGTTAATGGCGCAAATTCAAACTTTGAATCATAATCCAGCTTGTTAATAGTGCAAACAATAATTAAAACCCAAAATACCTATTTCATCCTGATGCAGGATGATGGAACTCTAAGTAATTTATCCATATATTTTATATACATTTTCTTATATACATACAAAGGGCGCAGTTGTCGTTAAAGGTACTGGTCTGCATGTCGGCCACTCACAAGTAAAATAAGTCAAATAAGATGTGCTGTCAAGCGAATGTGAACAGGTGGAACAAGTTGTAACTAGCCCTTAGACTTTTGCAGACGTTTAATTGGCTTGCGATCATTACATCGGAAAGTCCCTGGTTTACGAACTGTTTTGTGAAAGCAGCTAAAAGTAGTTGTTTTTTTGCCATGACTTTTCCTACGGAAAGGATGCGTAGGCGATGTTTTCCACCCATCCCTCGGTTTCGCCGGTCGACTCGTCATAACGCTGGCTGGTATCCACGTAGGCATACTCGCTCTCCATCTCTGGATGCACACAACCTTTCTCGCTGGCCTTGTACGGCGGGGAACCCGTGGAGTTACTTCCTTCCTCAATCATAGAATAGTCTGCGTTGGGTGGCTTGTTAGCGCCCTCTGTCGGCGCGTCCGGGTACGCATACACGTCGTCTTCCTGGGGATCCGAAGTTGTGGTGGTTTCCAATTTCGCGAACGAGTAGTAGTGATCATCGACGTCATCTCCGGTAGTGTACTGCCCGTTGTCGACCAAGACACCTCCCGCTTCAACGGTGAAGTAGTCGGTACCCCCGTGAACCCTCTCAGGCGTCACCGGATCGGGTGAGCCCGGCTGCAGTTTAAAATAATACGAGTTGTCGGATTCTGCCCCGTCTTCCGGAGCTACTCCCCCGTCCAGTTCCAGGTAAGACGGAATCGCTACGTTCCCAGCAACCTTTCTGCCCGGCTTCTGTTCAGACAACACTAGATGTTCCCGAGGTTTTTTGACTGGTGATGGATTAGGCGCGGTGTATCCCGGTTCGGCTCTCTCACCGACGGCACCGGTGGCGTACCGAACACTGCTCTCTGTATTCACTCTTTCCCCTACGGCGCAGTACGTGTATTCCGCAGAGTCGTCGGCTGAATCAGGAACGGCCTGGCCAAGGTCTTGCATCATCAGATGATTCGGTCCTTGCGAGTTCTCGTAGACGACGCTGTGTTGTTGGAAGCCGACAGACGGCCGTAAAGTGGCCGTGGTTTCCTTATCTTGCCTCTTGTGTCTAGAAAAAGATATCCCAGAGAAATACAATGGGGAATTAAGTTGATAAAAAAAATTCTTAATTAGAATATAGATGAATGTCATGTTGGGAGTGGGGTTGGGTTTGACGTATCGATTGAAAGGTTTTGATATGAAAAAATAATAATTGTTCTAGCTGGTGTAAATTTTTGGAAGATGGATGTGTTCAAAATGTTTTAAACCCGTGTTAGAACTTCTCAATATTTTTAATAACAGGTTTGATGATGGAGGTTTTACGGGATTGAGGATGATGGAAACAATATTGATAAAAGATATTGTTTCCAATGGGCAGCTGTTGCGGTTCAGACCTGGAGATCCAGCGAAATAAGATTTAACATAATGTTCTCATTTGAAGTTCGGACGAACTCCAGTTTTGATTATTAAACTTTTGGTGGAATTGTAGTAACATTTATTGCGGTTTGGAAATGAAACGCAATAATTCAGATGACGAGAATGGCGAATCAGCTGCTTCAAAATGACATCGACAGTGAGTTAGGTTGCATTAATTATTATTGTACATTTCCCTCTCTTTCTGCTCGAGTTGCAGGAAGGATAGCTGTACCATGTGTACCTTTTCAGAAGACAGACGACGACGACGATTGCACACACGACGATCAGGACACATCCTATTGCTAGACCAATGTATGTCCCTGTGTAAAGGACAGGGGGGAAGATGCAAAGCAAATACTTGATAAGAGCCAATGCTGATGGGAAAAAGGGTAAAGGGGGCGAACCTGTGTTCACAGGAACGGAGTGCCAATCTCTCTTTCGTTAGCGATTGGGCCAGACTCGTATGCTGCTGTGGGGGGATCCTCCACAGTGGGTCTATTACCTTCCCATCATTGAATAATGCCGTTACCCATTAAACACCTGGGTTGAGAGAAGTAATTGAAGTAAAGCACCTTACTCAAGGGCACAACATGCATGACCACGGCGGGGCTCGAACCCATAACCTCACGATCATGAATCCTGTGTTCCACCTCTAGAATACACGTGCCCATACGTGATAGAGGCAGGATGCTTAAAGAGGCAGAAGACATCAAACAACCCTTATAGCAGATGGGTTGACTTCCCTCAGTCAGATGATAGCCCATGACAAGTTAAGGCTGGTGACATTGTGAAGGGATGCATTTATAAATGTCTATGTTAACACTGCGCATTTGTGGAAAACATCTCATAGTAAAGAGGGCACGGTTTTGGTGAACTTTGTTTAGCTGAGATCATCGTGAAACGAAAAGCGCTTTTGCGACAACTGGAAAAAAGGAGTATTTCTCGATCATGCCTTCTACAAGGAGCATTGGAAAGATTTATGAAAATACCTGCATTTGACCCGTTACGAGTATCAAATCCACCGTCTCCAGCTGAGGATTCGGTCGTTGTGCCGTCCTTCTCGCTGGGCGACCTCGTCAACTTGGAGTCCGTGGCACCACCGGCCCTGGTCTCAATCGTCAACGGGGAGGTTTGGGCGGATTCTCCCGTAGTCAGGTCAGAAGTGACTACCTCTCTTTCCGTAGTTTCTTCTTTCTCATCTTTTACCGTCGTAACCGCGACTCTGGGCGTTGTTTGGCCTTGTGTGGTTGCCACCTCAGATGTTCTTCGGTATGCTGTCGAAGGCACGGCAGTTGTTGGTCGTTCAGTATCGGTGGGCGCATCAGTAGGTGTTAAATCTGTTGTGAATGATTACGACATCGTTTAAAATCACGGAGTCAATTTAAGAGCACAACCAATACAAAAGTGGAATTATCTGACTAACAACGTTAAATCACGGACAAACTCCTAAAGAAATCAAGAGTTTAACTTCTTAGAGTGAAGGAGCAAAGAGATGAACTCATTTAACGAATGTCAGTGGCCCATAACTTTGGCAAATAGCAGCGCATTTCGTCCGAAAAAAAGCTGCCTTTTCGGGAAAACATGTTATGGAACAACTTAGTTTGATAATTTATGACTTATTTAATTAATAATCGCATTTAGTATTAGTTGTATAGGACTCTAAACCATGTAGGCCTAGCCAGTATTTTCCTGCAACGAAGTTATCAGCATTGTTCAGAAATTGAGTACTTTCTTACGTCATGATTTCTGCAAAATTGTTCAGGATCCTATCGCTGAAACCTGAATATTTTTTAGGATGACTCCTTGCAATCGTACTCACCTGTGCACGTAACCTCCACTCCGCCATGGCTGTCACATCTACTATATCGATGCGTAAAATCGCACGCAGAGAGAAGTGTATCGTCTAAATAAAGAAACAAAAAGTGATTTTGATTTTATAGTAGTTTTAAGTGGAAATAGCACATTTTTCTCCCTCCGAGCCCACCCGACCCATTCCACCCAGGCTTGGATGCAGAAAGGGCTTGAACCCCCCCCCCCCCCCCCGCTCTGACACGCATAAAACCTAAATATCCGCCTATACGCAAAATTCGCACAGAGCTAGCTGGGTTATGTGGGTATTGGAACATTATTGTGTAATATAGTGTTACCGATCGTTGCTTTGAACAACGCCCCCATTGAAAGTATGGTGCGAGCCGCCCCCCCCCCCCAAGCCCAACCCCCTGCAAACATTCCTGGATCCGCCCCTGCCAAATCTACTCAACGCCAACTCGCTTTTTTACCTTCCAAACAAAAACTACATATAGTATATATTTTTTTATCCAATCTTTAGTGAAAAACATCTACAGATCCTTTGAATTCAGCAGCTATCTTGATGTGTTTTATAGGAGTTAGGTTGTTCTTTGTGTTTTTGTTTTTATCTGAACTCATTAACAATGAACACAATGTAAACGATCTATCGTTTCCCTCTATATAAAAAAGTACACCTCGGAGATGGTTGCAGTTCAAAGAATCCACAGATCCGCTGGCGACGCTGTTAATGTCGCCGCTCTACATGAAGAACATTCTGGTACCAACCACTACCGCAGATAAAATTGGTGACTGATGCCCAAGTTCTATCGTCGATCATTTGTCCGTTTCTCGTCTCAGTCATCCCTGCGTATCCAAGGTGTCGACAGGCCGTTGTGGCATCATTGCTACCCCAACCCTGGTCGCAAACGTCGTTCCACGACCGCACACCATAACGTCTAATTCGGACTTGCACGCGGCCGGTGTTAGGTAAACCCGGCTGTTTGTCAACCAACCTAACACCGATGACAGCTTGGGAGAGAAAAAGTGACAAGATTTCAAGGCATTCATATTATAACTTAACTCAAATGTTATATGCATGATCTGGTAAAACAACAACAACAACAACAAACAAACAAACAACATGAGAGGCAATAATTCCTTTAACCCTATAAGGGCCGGGTTATTTTGACCATCTCTCAGCCTGGGGGGGGGGGGCGGATTCCAAACCCTCTAAGATCTCGAACATCGAAAAAATTGAAACTCGGTACATGCATAAAGCAACTTATCATGAACAAGAAATTTCATGACTATAATGTCAAAGAGTTTTTGGAATTATGGCTAACAACCCAACAAACATGAGAGACAATAATTCCTTTAACCCTATAAGGGCCGGGCTATTTTGACCATCTCTCAGCCGGGGGGGGGGGGGAGGGGAGGGGCGGATTCCATTCCCTCTAAGATCTCGACCATCGAACAAATTGAAACTCGGTACATGCATAACGCAACTTATCATGAACAAGAAATTTCATGACTATAATGTCAAAGAGTTTTTGGAATTATGGCTAACAACCCAACAAACATGAGAGACAATAATTCCTTTAACCCTATAAGGGCCGGGCTATTTTGACCATCTCTCAGCCGGGGGGGGGGGGAGGGGAGGGGCGGATTCCATTCCCTCTAAGATCTCGACCATCGAACAAATTGAAACTCGGTACATGCATAACGCAACTTATCATGAACAAACCCAAGAAATTTCATGACTATAATGTCAAAGAGTTTTTGGAATTATGGCTAATTAATTATTCATATGTACCAATGGTAATTTTGCTCTGTGTACACGACGTATATACGAACATTCAGTTCTCCCGGACCAATTTTTATGTTTTTGGTATCGAAAGATGCGCAAGGCTCGAGGCTAACATTTCATAACAGCTCGGGTCGCCAAAAAAACATTCAAAGGCTATCGTGGAAAAAGTTGGGGGGTGCAGATTCCGCCCGGCCCTTTTAGGGTTAAACAAGAGCTTTTTGTATTGAGTTTAGGTCAAACTCGGGCTGAATTTAGATTTAACCAACGTCATGGATCATGCACAGCTACAGTCATCTGGTTGCTAAGGCAAAGTGTCTGCCGTTGTTCAGCAAAGCTAATCCGATTACGTACTTAGACGCTATAACAGAGCAGTAAAATTCATGCACCACCAAAAATGTGGCATTTGAACGTTGTGTTTCTCAGAAAATATACACAGTATGATTGGAATGTTAAATTATAACGGAAGAAGAAATTCTAATTGTCATGTCAGTGAATAAATCGCAGCCATCGTGCCGAAGGATCAATGCTAGTTACGGGTATAGCTGACCTTCAATTCTGGAAGAAATCGTTTGAAACGTCCCCAAATCTCTGCATTTGTATCGATTTCTAGGAACTTTTTAAAATGGTAATTTCACGAGTAGTTAAACAATTATATCATCAAGGTATGTTCCGAATTTCAGCTTAATCTGTTGTTGCAAACGCTACTGTTACACTCTGAACCATCTCCATGTAAAATTTCGACAAAAAATTTCTGCCGACCAACCCCGATGCATTGTTCAGCAAAGTGCCTTAGGCGTTACGGTTGACCGAATCGGCCAAACGACACAATAACGTATCGTAGTTAAGCATATTCATTAGCGTCACTCAGCGTGTTTTGGCATAGGTCTCGGTATCGACCAATGGAAGCCGGCAAAAGGGTGATAATTATCAATTAATAACTCTTGAAGGAGGCTTTTCTCAAAATGTTTACTGCACACCATAATGGATAGGAACCTTATCAGTAATCGTGAGGCTTGAAAAGATCGACAGGTACTGCAAACGTCAGTGTTACAACTTCAAGAAATGCACGTAGCCAGGCCTATTTTTCCAATTTCAATGAAAAGTAAATGAACATATCACAACGATTTTTAATACATACTTGGATCGTTTTAAGAAAAATAAATCCTGAAAGTTGCATGAAGATACGGTCTTCTAAACTGGAGAAATTATTTTTCAAATATTTCACCCGCCTACATGAACATGTCGGTGTACATGTAGTTTCTTTCAAAATAAAGTGTTACGTAACCACTAGACTGCCTAGGCGTACACGTACATATTTATTATAATGTGTACCGTACTCTTATGTGCGCCACTGAAGTATGCCACTCAACGGCACGCGTGTTAAAGGGGCATGAAGGCCTAGCACCCAACAGCTCGATTTTTGAGTGTCAAAATATTGATCCCGAAATTTGCTCTCGAATGATTCTCGCAAGAATAACACAAAACGCCCAGTTTTTAAAGGATTGTTGTGTGACGTTTACATCTTATTTTTAAATATTCATTCGAATTAACATCATTCAAAAATAAATTGAAACAAAAATATTGGACCGATTTTTGTCAGTTCAATTCTCTTTGAAAAGTTCAATTCAACAGAAGGGTGCAACACCCAAATTGCACGAGGTCTCCAACTTTAAGCCTGCGGTGACATACTTTCTTGAGACCTAAAAGGTTGTTGTTTCACATCCGAGCTGAGTTAACCTACAATCTCACAGAAAGATTGTTTTTGTAGCACGCACAATTTACCTTGCTGCATCGACATCCATGGTCCTATGCACAACAATACAAGCAGGCCCAGCATATGCACGGAATGAACGGGGAAATTTCTCATGTCTGTAACATACAAATAAGTAGTTATTAGTACTTTCGCATCGCAAACCCATTAAAAAACAAGACATTGAAAAGACAATTGTATACTCATTCTTTGTTGACAAAATTTGTTATAGAAAATAAGTGACGTGTGAACAGTCACGTATCACTACTTCAGGAATTCCGCTTGATTTTTGCGACGTCACAAAGCCTCCCTTTATGGTTCAAGGACAACCACGATTTGCATGTTATTCATGGAAGTTAAAAAGGATATGTATATAGGAAAGTATTTGTTGCTTCTTCCTTTAATATAAACAGATGTGTGCTTTTCTTGAGTATTGAACGTAAGACAGTTAAAGCTACTTCTAAATGGAACTTGCTTAAAGGGAATATACAACATTTGCAAACATCGAAAAATAAAATTACCAAGTTTTTACGAAATACCTTAATAGGATGTTGGTAAATGACAGTCTAAAGCATCCTGTAAAATTATGGCACCTGGTATACTGTCATTTTCAAGAAAAGTGGTATTTTTGTATCAATTTCCAACGCTGATCGGCCGATCAGCGTTGGAAACAACTGGCTTTTTTTCAAATACTGGCCCCAATTGACCATTGCACTTGTTTGCAATCGATTACAAATCTATGAACGGGTACGAGCCAGCTAGACTGGTTCCCTGACCTTACAATTCCCCAATGTATGTAAACTGCTCTGTTTCTTCTTATATGGAGTCAGGAAACCAGACTACAGGAAAATGATCGTTTTTCTTGGTTTTTATAGCATTTTCGAACCCAAAACCTCCAAAAAGTCAGTGTAACTATATTTGCTTTATATTTCCAACCCCCCAATTCCATCCATTTCTGAAAATTACAGCAAAAGCAAATGATGTATATTCCCTTTAACATACAAAAATAAAACTGAGAATACTCACATCTTTCATTAATAGACTGTGATGAAATCAAACTATTGTCTCCACACTTTGGATTAATGTCAGTTATTTTAAACCCTTTTAAATAACAAAACATATTAAGCTCCGTTGGTCAATCTTCACCAGAATGGGAACCTTTAAAGTGTCCATATCCAAGCACTTTGAAAAAGACTGTGGACAGAATAAGACGCAAAGGATCAGGATGCTAACTCACGCTAATAGTAATAAGCGGATACACATTGACAGTCCTCGACAATGATCTGTAAAATCAAACTAATTTCAATCAGAACAACCTACCTTCAACATATGTTGCTGTCTTCTTCTGGATATCGAGACTGCACTTGTTCTAACGTCCAAAACGAAGATATGACGAGGACAGAATAAATTGAGCTGACGATGAAAGGCTCACATCTAAAACACCATTGACGTACTTTGAGCATTGCCTATAAATTCTGTCGTGTACTGAGTCCGTATTGTTTTGTCTGTTTAACCACAAACTTGTATTTCCTCGTACGTCACTCGTCGATAGACCCGAACGTGGTTAGCTTGCACTACTACGGAAGCATATTGCTACCAAAACGAAAAAGGGTGATTTTAAATCGTTTGAACGACATAATCATAATCTCGATTAAAGGACATATCTGTCGTTTAAACGAAACTGCCTTCTCTTCGTTTGAACGTTGCTTGGGGATTAATAGCGGTGCCGTTAAATAACTCAAAATAATAATTAAAAAAAAACTCGGCACCAATAGGTTTCCGTACAGTACCCTTAAGTGTCTAAATCGTTGAAAAGACAAGCCCACACCGTTGTGATAATTTCTTTTGACGTGTACCAGTCCCTCTTTTCCGAGATTTTGGATGTTCCTCCCGCAATTGTATCAAGTCCTGACCCTGGCAAGCGCCTTCCAACCGCCACCACGGTAGAGGGCGCTATCAACAAGATGAATCCAATCCAGTCTTGGGAACTTTGGCAGAGCTACCCAGAAAATTCCTCACACACCTCACACACGCGCTGTAGTCTAGCTAATGTACGCGTGTGAGGATGCTCCGAATTTCCTGGAAAGCGCTACCAAAATTCCTTAGAATTCGATTCATCGTGTTGATGGCGACGTCTCGCCGTCTAGGAGGTCGGAATGATGCAATGGCCCCTACCCCGACCCGTACGCAAGAGACCGAGATATAACCCTAGGCCCGTTGCATTGTGGGAATACAGATATGCTCATTACTAATTAGCATACACTCCTCCCGGTACCTATGCTAGTATTGATGCCTATATTTTGAA